GTGGTGAAACCCCGTCTCTACTAAAAATACAAAAAATTAGCTGGGATTACAGGCACCCGCCACCATGCCCAGCTAATTTTTTGTATTTTTAGTAGAGACGGGGTTTCACCACGTTGACCAGGATGGTCTCGATCTCTTGACCTCGTGATCCACCCGCCTCGGCCTCTCAAAGTGCTGGGATTACAGGCGTGAGCCACCGCGCCCGGCCCCGGGGGATGTCTTTTCTAATGCTCACATTAACCCTGTAAATTAGGCATTCCTTTTGCTGTTGTACAAATGAGAAAATGGAATCTCAAAGACGTCTTCCTTTTTCTACCCTGTCATAGTGTCTGCCAATTTTTGGGCTAGCTGGGTGGCCTCATTTTGGAATAACGATGCATATAGGGGGAAAAAATGGGTGTTGGTGAATCAGAAAGTCTTGGGGGAAATAATGCATGTTCTAGCAGGTTCTAGCAAAAATACTGGGCTGAGATTCAGAAGCCCCTGGGTCTCAGCCTCCGCGTAGCCAAGAACCAGCTGTGGGGTGTGGCCTCGATCACCTCAGCGTTCACAGCTCTCTTCATCCCACGCTATCCTGCAGTTCTTATTTTCTGATAAAGATTTTTACCACACGCAGAAGTTTCTCCAACGACAAAATAATTTTCAATCACAAGTTGGGGGCAGGGGGTTTGGGAGGGGCTCCAGGGAGTGCTGATGTAGCAGGATGCACATTTGACAGCGTAACATACATTTCTAACTGCAAAATGAACGGCAAACTATTATTTTCATAATGTAAAAATTGGAGGTGAAGCCGAACAGGATTTTACTTTTTATTATTTTCAAACGAGATTTTCTTACACGTTGGGATATGGGTTTAGAAATAATGGAAGTCACTCATTTGCCACAATCAGGAAGAAGGAACCTCTACACCCTCAGACAGAAGAAGGGAGACCCCCGAGAAAGGATTTACAGTTCTACAGGGCGGCTAAAGAAAAAGTAATAGCTAACATCAAATCCAGAACAAAGCCACCAAGCCAAGTCCTTCCGGAGACCAGGGTGGGAGACCCCGTGCCCCCGCCTGGGTGAGTGGGACATCGGGGTGCCTCAGATTCTACTCGCCATTGCCCATGGCACTCAGTGAATGAAACCCCACCTGGGCAATTCAGCCGGCCTAGCCACCTGAGGCAAATCAAATGCAACCTGAAAATCAAAATCAGCCCAGTGCAGCCCTCTGGTGGCTTCAGAGGCCCCGAGGTACACAGAGCAGCATGGGAGGAGGACCTCAGCCCTCACCACACCTCTGCTCTCACCTGGAGAGCCCCCTGCTGGCCTGTGCTGCCTTGTCCCAGGGAGCCCAGCAAACACCCAGGCTTGGGTACCGGGTCCACCTGGGGCAAACTCTCGAGGCCTGGCCGTCCATCTCTGTAACCTAAAGCTTCCTCACGTGAGCAGGATCCATCCCCTAAGTCCTCAGAGCAGCGCTGTACCTGTGAAATGGCTGGTACACAGCGGCCCTCAAGGCCTGCCATCACTACCTTCATAAGCACTACATCCCAGGCCCTCTCTGTCCCCTCTTCCTTGTGACCCTCAGGACAAGGCTGACAGCAAGCTGAGAGGGCAACAGGCCAGCAGTCACAATCTGCCCAGGGCGTGGCCGCAGTGGGTCTGACCTGGGGAGCCCCTGTCCCGGGGTGAGACTAGCACAGCCTGGATTTACAAGCCCCACTGTTTGGGTTCAAATTCCAACTTCACCACTCACAGGGTGTGCAACCTTGGGTCACTCGGCCACTTTTCTGGGGCCCCCATTTCCCTCCTGCTCCATGGGGGAATGGGGAATAGAATCCCGTGGGGGCTCTTGTGAAGGCTTGAGCTGAGAACATCCAATCTTCATTGATTACACGAATGTGCTCAGAACAGCGCCTAGGACACAGAGGCCGCCTTCGTCATTTCCCCATGCCCTCTGATCGCATGGGTCACTCTCTTCCCCATGTCCCTGGAAAGGGCTGTGGATCGGTAGGGGTGGAACCAGAGGCTGCCATCGCCCCCACCGTTTTGGATCGTGTTCCCCAGTGCAGCCTCTGCCATCGCCCTCAAGAGCATTTATCACGCATTTACCACAGATCTTTAAAACGAAAGCTGCAGGGGAGGATAATTAACTTTAATAGGAGCCGCCGTCGATTTAAAGCCACAGGGGGAAGTAATTAGATTTAACAGAAGCCACGGCTTTCTGAACCAAGACACACAGCGTGAGGGTCCCTGGTCTAGAAAGCCTTTGGGATGATGTCTTTTGGTAAAGACTTTCCTGGTGACATTTGCTGCGCCCTCAGTCATTAACGCCAGTCACTGACTGGAGGATGAATGTGGCCTCTGCTCATTGAAATTCATTAGGCCTGGCATTTCTCTTGCTGTCTCTCCCGTTTGCCCTCCCCATCGCCTGCGCGCTGGGCCAGGAGAGCTCTGCCCCAAAACCCCAGCTCCTGGGGCCTCACATCCAGGAGCTGGGGGGTTGGAAGAATAACAAGAAATAATTCGAGTTAAGCCAAAGACCCCTGGGACGACCCCTTTATTCCCCGCCAGGGTATTCTCTGGATGTCGTTTTCTTTATTTGCAGGAACCACTTCATGAGTGGGCCCTGTTTCTTTCTTCACCTGGCACCTGTCTGGACGCCAGGAGCGCTTATCACCATTCCTTACCCCCTTCCCGACCCCTCCCCACCAGGTAGGGCGTTCCGGACCTCCCCGACCGTGCCGCTCCCCTCATCCCGCGCGCAGGGACTCGGGAACTCAAGGACAAGACCCCCGACACATGACAGCTCAAACACCGGGAAACGGAGGCCCAGGCCTCCCTCTTCGAGCCCCCGCCTCCACCACCCTCCAGCCGAGAAGCTGGGGTTCAGTCCCGCCGCTGACCCGCCCACCCTGCCGGAGAGCCTCCTTCCCGGTGCCCCGTTTCGGGTTGCATCCCGGCACAGCCGCGGGGCCCGGGCCAGCGCGGAGCAGGCAGGGGCGCGCGGCCGGGAGCGCAAAAGCCCAGGCCGACGCCGAGGCTGCGGCGCCACCTACAGCCCGCGCGGCTCCCATTGTTTCCCTGCCCGCGCCAAGAGCGCGCCGGGCCCCCCGTCGGGGGGCAATTAACCCGGATAAAAGGGGCGGGGCAGGAATTTCAGGAAGATAAAGCGGAAAGAACCTGAGACGGTCGGAACTGCGGGTGAAATTTTATTGGACGGCTTTGGCATCAGATGTGCGGGGCTGGGAAAGTCGCCGGGTGGGGCCGGGGCGGGGGGCGAGTGGCCTTTTAAGAGGAAGAGCCCTAAGGCCGAGGTGAGGCTTTTCCCGACAGAGAGTGAAGGAGGCGAAGCTCTGGGGGGCCCCCCAGCCTCTGACCCCGGGGTTCCCGACCCCGCCCCTGCTAGTGCCCCGCGCCGAGCGCATCCACCGGGAGCCCCGGCCTGGGGGAGGGGCCCCAGTGGTCGATTGCTTTACAAAATCAAACTCCCAGCCAAGAACCTCGGGCCATTGCCCGGTGAGAAGGAGTTCCCCGAAACCCAGCCGCTGAGCGAGGCCTCCTCCTCCAGCAGATCGGAACAGCCTGGGCGGGGTCACCCGGGCTGGGACGAGAAGCCGCCGCCTGCTTGACTGCCGCGGGTCCCGGGGGCGGGGGGGCTGGGGCCGGAGGCGGAGTGTGAGTGGGTGTGTGCGGGGGGCGGAGGCGTGATGCAATCCCGATAAGAAATGCTGGGGTGTCTTGGGCACCTACGCGGGCCCCGTAAGGCGCTATATAAGGCTGCCGGCCCGGGGCTGCCGCGCCGTCGGAGCAGGAGTGCTGCGTCCAGGATCGCGGGCCACGGCCATCCCAGCCCGGCACTCGCAGCCCGGCACTCGCAGCCCCGCAGCGCATCCCGGCCGCCTCCCTGCCTCCCGCATCCCCGTCGCCGGAGCTGCGCCGAGTGCTCCAGGGAGGTGCCATGCGGAGCGGGTGTGTGGTGGTCCACGGCTGGATCCTGGCTGGCCTCTGGCTGGCTGTGGTCGGGCGCCCCCTCGCCTTCTCGGACGCGGGGCCACATGTGCACTACGGCTGGGGCGACCCCATCCGCCTGCGGCACCTGTACACCTCTGGCCCCCACGGCCTCTCCAGCTGCTTCCTGCGCATCCGCACCGACGGCGTCGTGGACTGCGCGCGGGGCCAGAGCGCGCACAGTGAGTGCCCGCCGGGACCTCACCCCCGCCCCGCCGCGCGCACCCCTTCCTTTGCCACCTTAGGCTCCCGAGGACCCCTCAACTCCTAGGAACCCCAAGTTTTGGTACCTGAGCGTTAGAATCCCTCCCTTAGTCCCCAAACAGCACGAGACACTGGAGAGGGGCACAGGCGCGTGGACCGACCCCACCCACTTGGTGCGGGCCCCGCAGGTCCAGGCTGCAGCTTCTCGCTTTTCCTGCGCCCAGGTTTGCTGGAGATCAAGGCAGTCGCTCTGCGGACCGTGGCCATCAAGGGCGTGCACAGCGTGCGGTATCTCTGCATGGGCGCCGACGGCAGGCTGCAGGGGCTGGTAAGTGTCCCTACGGGGAGGATGCCCTGGGGCAGGGGACCGACCACTGGCCCTGGGCAGAGGCCTGAAGGGGGGAAAGGCGCTGGTTCGAATCCAGGGTTTCCTCATCTCCTCCGCCCAAATCCGTGTGTTGCTTCGAGGGAAAGATTGCAAGGGTCGACTAAGCGCGTGTCCCACGATTTTCTACGGAAATTTAGGGTCTCAGCCAGTAGCTGGAGAAGAGGCAAAAGCCGTCTTTGCATTTCTAGTTGAGCCAAAGGCCCGCCCAGCCGGACCGAGGAAACCCGCTATTCGGCCTCCTTTGATATTAAGCAGGAAAACCCACCTCGGGCTTTTTCAGCCTCCGCCTGCGCGTGTGTGGTCCTCGCCTCCGTTTCCCTCCCTCCGACATAAAAATAAGAAAAAAAAGAACAGAAAAGAAAAAAGAGGGTCTATCCACAACTTTCGTTTAAGAACAAATCGATTGTCAAGTAAGGCAGAAGACAGTGCATTGGGGATGGGCGAGTTTTTTAGAATGAATTTGTAATCCACCAGGATCATGGTGTGGTTCAGACGCAGATGCGCTGGAGCCACGTTCCACCCGAGGAGGGCTTTTCCTCCCGCGGGCCTTACCTGTCCTGTCAACGCTTTCTGGTGGGGGCGGGGGTGGGAGCGGGCTGGGAAGGCCCAGGTAACCGCAGAGGTCCCCACCGGAAGTGTATGAATGCCGGAGCTCTGATGGCCAGGAACAAAGGCTGGGAGTTCAAAGGAACGAACCCGCGCCCCTCCCGCGGCCCGGCGCGCAGAGGAGGCTGTGTGAGGTCTGGCCCGCGCAGGCCTCACACGCAGCCCTGGGCTCCCTGGCGGAGCAGGGGCCAGGGCGGGCGTGGCCGCCCCTGCCCCGGCCCCCCACCCCAGAAAGGATGCAGAGGCGGGGCCGCCTCCGGCCCAACCAGCTCCTTTGTGAACAGTGGGACAAAGCATTTTAGAGTCTCCAGATTGCTCGGTGCTTGTGCGGTGCTCCGTGTATTCAGAGTGCCTGTTTCAGATTTTACGTCGGAGCCCCGCGCTAGAAGACTGCAGGGAAAGGGGGTGGTCGGCCCGCTGAACTCTGACTCCCACCCAGAGCCACTCAAACGCACCCTTGCAACTTTAATTTTGACATTTGTTATGGGGGGGGCTCCTAATGATGGGAGGGCAGCAGGGGACGTCAACCTAACCCCCATTCTGTCCAAATTGGGGATGGGGGCGCAGATGACCTAAAATCCATTTGTGCCTTTTTTTTTTTTTTTTTTTTTGAGAGGCTTTCTGTCACCCAGGCTGGAGTGCAGTGGACCGATCTCAGCTCACTGCAACCTGTCCCTCCCGGGTTCAAGGGTTTCTCCTGCCTCAGCCTCCCATGGAGCTGGGATTACAGGTGCCTACCACCATGCCCAGCTAACTTTTTTATTTTTAGTAGAGACGGGGTTTCACCATGTTGGCCAGGCTGGTCTCGAACTTCTGACCTCAAGTGATCCGCCTGCCTCGGCCTCCCAAAGTGCTGGGATTACAGGCGTGAGCCACAGACCTGGCACCATTGTGCCTCTTGATCCGCTGTGCATGGTTTAACACAGATTGAGGATCTTTTTCTTTCATTTTTTTTGAGATGGAGTCTCACTCTGTCCCTCAGGCTGGAGTGCAGTGGCGTGATGACTCACTGCAACCTCCACCTACTAGGTTCAAGAAATTCTCCTGCCTCAGCCTCCCAAGTAGCTGGGACTACAGGCACACACCGCCATGCCCAGCTAATTGTTTGTATTTTTAGCAGAGATGGGGTTTCACCATGCTGGCCAGGCTGGTCTTGAACTCCTGACCTCGTAATCTGCCTGCCTCAGCCTCCCAAAGTGCTGAGATTACAGACATGAGCCACCACACCCGGTCTCTTTCTTTCTTAAATAGAAATTTCACATTCTTCTAGAAGCTTGAAGTCATTTCATTTTTGTATGGAGAAAGTGATGCTAATTTCTCCCAAAGGACTAGCTGAGTAAATAGAAGCAGGTCTCCAGTCATTGGGTTTTCTGTTCCCTGTTTGTTTATCAGTTGGCATTTCTGCGAGTTTGGGAGAAATCGTTTGTGCTGTCCAGTGCTTTGTCCCAGCTCTCCGTGGGCTCGGCAGGAGCCTGGTTGCTGCAATGCGTCTCTTATCAGGAGCTTATTGGCACAGGTACATCCCCAGTCACCTGCAGTTCAGTGACCTTTGCAGACTTAGGCAGAAACCTGACTGAGGCCGGCCTGCCGTGTACTGCCTGTCCTGGGTTGTCAAGGGGTCATGACACCAGCGTGGGACTGCACTTGCCCACTGGCACCTCTCAACCCCGTGGACGATGAGTGTTCTGAGACCAGGGACTGCCTTCCCTCAGCACACATTTCCGGCCACCAGCTGGGCGCCAGCCTGGCCTGGCCAGGCCTGGGGGAGGGGCTGCTGAGACCTGGCTCCTGGCGGCGGGCCTGGAAGGCCTTTAGTGACTAAATGGAGG